TCTTCCCCAACTCCTGGCAGCCACCATCTTTCTGTCTCTGTGAATTTGATCGCTCAAGATGTTCCCTACCCGTGGGATCATACAATGTTTGTCCTTTGTGTCTGTCCCATCTTTCACTGTGACAACCATGCTCTGGAGAATTTCCCTGGAGTTGTCACTATTATATCATTAGCATTTTAAGAGAAAGGATAAATGTGTTCAGATATTTCTGTAGGATACAGGGAAACTAATGGTTACTCTAGGGAGAGGCAGGGGGCAACTGGGGGGCAGGGGAAGGGAAACTTGTTTTTTACATCTTTAGAATTCGGTAGCTTGTTCATATGTTACTTATTCAAAAAAAGAATTGTTAAGAAATGTTAAGCCCTAACCGGTTTGGCTCAGTGGATAGAGCACCAGCCTGCGGACTGAAACTGCAGGTCCAGGTTCGATTGTCAAAGGCAGCATGTACCTTGGTTGCGGGCACATCCCCAGTAGGGGGTGTGCAGGGGGCAGCTGATGATGTTTCTCTCTCATCAATGTTTCTAACTCTCTATCCCTCTCTCTTCCTCTCTGTAAAAAATCAATAAAATATATATTTTTTAAAAAAGAAATGTTAAGAGCAACCGTGAAAAAATAGATATAGGGTACACAACGCCTAAGCTCTTTATTGACCTCTATGGCACAAACTGTTTATTGTCCGACAAAAATCTATGTTCCCTTCTTCCATAATAATAGAACAGTGGTAGGCAGGGAGCTGACCTGCTGCACTGCATTTCCCAGCCTCCTTTGCAGGGCAGGTGGCTGAATTGCTGTATTGTATCTCCCAGCTTCCTTTGCAGTTAAGCTTATCCATGTGACTGAGTCCCCCAGTGGCATCAGATGGGAAGTGAGAGGTGCTTTTCCCTAACCAGGGCCTCCCATTCCATGCTTTCTGTCCCCTTCCTGTGAGCCGGAGCCAGGATGTGGCTGCAGCCCAGCCTGAACCATGCAGAGGACACCCCAAGGAGGTGGTGGCCAAGCATGATGGAAGGAGCCTGGGCCCTGAGTGATCCTGTGGAGCAGAGCCACCTGCCCACCCGGACCTTGAACTGTCACATGGGCGAGAAATAAACTTCTGTGTTGTTTGAGCTGGTGCCTTTTGGGATCTTTTTGTTACAGCAGTTAGTATAACCCTAACTAAGATAACCCATGTGGGGTCAGAGGAAACTGCCTCCCATGATAACAGATACTCATTTCCCCGAGGCAGGAGGAAGAAATCAAAGCTAAGATAGTGCTTGAGGCTCTTCTTGTGACGTTTGGCAATGCTCCCGCCTCAGGGGGCTTTGCGGGGAGGTGGGAGGGGCCTCTCCCCTTTAAACTAAAATTCCTGGCCGTGACCTGAACAAGCAGGCTCACCCCATCTCCAGCCTGTAGCAACACTAGCCAGGCTCACAGATTTTGGCCCTGGCTCAGCCACTAACTTACATGGCCTTCCTGTGCAAGTCACCACACACCTTAGACTTACACTGTGTTTCAATTAATCAGGCAGGAGAAGGGGCAGGAAGCAGAAGCAAGTCTCTCCAGGGCCCCTTCCTGTCGGATGATGCCAGACCCAGTCTATAGAGAGAGCAGGACAAGGGCTTGGGTCTGACTCCCAGGCCTGGGCTTTTCCCTGGGACCTGCTGGACCCATGAGTCGGATGCTGGATGCAGAAATAGCGGCAGGAATCGCCCAGAAGCCAAGAGCTGGTCACTAGCTTGTAGTTTCATGAGCCAGTCCTGCAACCAGGTTACAGATGGAATGTAAAGCATTGAACGTGAGTCCAAAAGAGATGCCGTGGATGGTCCCTCCGCACTGAGAATCTAGGACAGGGAGCCCCCGGCGTCTTCTCGGCAGCCCGCGGAAGCAGCTCCGCTCTAAGCTATAACCCTGGGCGTGACCAGTCTCCTTTGGGCTCAGCCCACTTCCCTCGGTGCCCATGGCCGAAGGTAAAAATGCGCAGCCCTGACCCTTTGGAACTGACGGGCTGCAGCAACAGCCCCTGTGGTTCTGAGAATTTGGACCTGGCTTGATTTTTAACTTGGAGGGTGAGGA